TGTGTTGTTACTGGTGATGGTGTATCTCCCAGGTGTGTTGTTGTTTCGGTAATTCCTACTGCTGAACTACTTTGTGGTGGAGTTATTGGTGTTGATGGTTTTGATTGTGTTGTTGATGATGTACTTCCTGTTGTTGATGTCGTTGGTGTTGACTGTTGTGCTGTGTCTGCTGGTACAGTTGTTATTGCTTCTGCACCTCCTTTTGTTGCACCTCCTTCTGAGCTCGTTGTTGACGCTCCTGATGGTTTTGTTTGTGATGATGTTTCAATTGAATGTGTTGTTTGTTCTGCTTGTGTTGATCCACCTGACTGTGATGATACTCCTGTTGATGACACTCCATCTCCTTGTCCTGATGGTACTTGTGGTTGTGATGTTGATGATACACCTGCTGATGCTGAACCTAGTTGAGATAAAGTTCCTGTTGCATCTCCATGTGTTGTTACTCTACTTCCTTGTTCTTGTTGTACAGTTGTTGTAGTTCCTTGTGATACTGTTTCTGCACCTTCTTTTAGAGCTTGTGGTACTGATTCTGATGGTGCTTCAGCTATCAAATGTATATTAATATAAATATTTTGAATGGTATTAGTCAACCGATTATATGTTTGATGTTGTGTATTTTCATCATTGTTATAGTTATTCTCGTATTTATGTTGTTTAGTTCTTGTTGAATCAATCATGTTATCTTCACGTTTATTATCATCTTTATTTCCTTGTTCATTGTATTGTTCAATTTCCAATCCTTTACTAATTACAACAATTAATATCAATAGAATCATTGTTTATTTCTAATTAGTTCTTCTCTTTAAATATATCACACTAACATACTTCTATTTCTCTATTGTCAATTCATTATTTGAATTTGAATTGAAATTTATTTGCTTTCTTTGTATTTTTGTATTTATATATCATTGTATATCATTCATGACTTGATGAAATGTTAAAATGTCATAATTCTTTCATCCAACTCTAAAAATATTCTATTCTTATTGTGTATTTTTATTTCAAACAAACAAAATATTATGATTTGATAAACTTATTATTTTATTATCAGATTCATATTTCTTATTCTTATATTTCTGATTTGATGATAATCTTATTTATAATACAATGAATTCGTATGATTCTGATTGAAAACAATACTAAATAATATATTAAAACATCTGTATTAATTTATATTCAATTATCAATTCATCAATAACTAAAACACAAATGTTATTCATGAATTATCAGAATTGAAAATTAAAATAATCTTAATTCAATATATATTTTGTACAACAAATCTAACTGAATAATGAATATATTAATGATTATTTATATACACAACTTATTTTCTATTTGTGTATTACCAAATTATTTCAATTATATTTAATGTTATAATGTATCAATATGTTGATACAATCATATATTCATTTCAAAATATTTATGAATATTATATTACAAGTATTTCATATATTTATTGTTATTTTTAAAATGAATAAAACAACAATATCGATAAATATGACAATGAAATATGAAATAAGAGTAATACAATAATATTTTACGAATGATAATACAAAATAACATAGTAATGTGAAAGAAGAATATATAAAATCAAATAAATGAAAAACATAGAAAAAAATGAAATAAAGAAAAATGTTTATCTAAAACATTGAAATAATATATAACACGTTTTAACGATATTTTGATTAAATTAATACTATTTTATAATTTAAATAATAATGAAATAAATTGAAGAATGAATAAACATGAATATAAAAATGATTATATTAAAGATAATATAAATAAAGATAAAATCTAATATACAACATATCAAATAAATAGCAATATAAGAATTAAATATCACATAACATAATATTTAAATAAACACTAAAATAAATATTCAAATAAATAATCACTTGTAGTCATTTTGTATGAAATATTAATGAAATAAATGATTTGATGAATCATATTTAATTATTTGTATTCTTTTTTATTCTTTTATTATTATGTTATTTATCTATCGTATTTTTATATATTTATATCTTTTTATATTTATTTCTCTGTTTATATTATCTATATCATATGTTTATCTATATATTCTTCTTGTTTTATGATTCTTATTTTATTATTTTTTATGTTTATATTCTTTAGATTTTCTTCTTGTTATTCTTTTATATTTAGATATATTTTATTATTTGTTTATTCATCTTTATCATTTTTATATTATTATCATTTATATCTATTTTCATTTTATATTTATTTTCATTTTATATTAATATTAAATTTATCTTTTATACTTTGATTTTATTATTATATCATTGACTATCATTTCTCCTTTTATTTATCATTTATTCTTATTATTCTTTTGTTTTATATTCTATATCATATATTCATATCATTTTCATTTATATTTTTTACATATTATATGTTATAATAACATAACACATATGATTGATTATATAATAAACATCATAATGAAGTTATACATATAAATAATAAACATAAAAAAGAGTAAAATATTTTTCATTAATAAAATAATATTAATTATTTTACATCATTAAATTAGACACTTTTATTGAATATTTCTAATTTTTACATTAAAAATACACTTTTTATTTCTTCTTTTATCATCTCTTTGTGATTTATTATTTTTATATTCTTCTTCTACTTTATTTTTATTCTTTTATATATTTTTATTCTTTTTATATTATTTGTTTTTCGTTGTTTTTCTATTTCTTTCTTCTATTATTTATCAATTTTATATTCATTTATTCTTTTTATTTCTTTTTTATTAATTCTTGAGTATTGTATATTTCTTTATTATTTCATTTGTGTATTATCAAAATATATGTTTTATTGATTTTATGTTGAATAAA